GTTTTATTGTTTAGTTCTCGGCGGACACAACATCTTTGTTGGTATGTGGTGCTGAGGATCGAACCCGGGCCGCACGCATGTCAGGCGAGCGCGCGCGCTACCGCTTGAGCCACATCCCCAGCCCCTGTCCTGTGTTTTCCCTGAGTCATTCCCAGCATGGCCTCCATTTTAGATTTCACTCGGTATTAGACCCGATTTACCTAACTACGCTGACTACCTAATTTTAAATCTGGCTTCATTAGGATCAGCATTTCATATGTTACTGAAGTTAGACTGCTATAGATTCATATCAGAGCAGTGTCACTTTCATATGTTACAGGGAATCCCCCAGGAACCATAATGAAATAGCTATAGAACATATCCAAAATGAAAGGAATGGAAATTAAAATGTTACTGAGAGCCATAGCCAAGTAGGAATGACACATGGCATTTTTGGTTGAAAAGTGACCCCAGCAAGCCATTGAGATGATAATGATTATGTTAAGATGTGCATTCAATTGGAGATTAGACCCCTGCTGTCTGCGTAGGCCTGCTACTTTGGAGCTCTAGCGGGACTCCTGGAGAGTTCCCATTGGTTGGGGAAGTGCGGGAGGAGGGAATTCCGGAGGAAGGATTTCCTGTTGGTGTAGTGTGTCCCGGGAGGAGCCGCATGGCAGCACGTTTGGCATTTCTCCCGGGATCGTGTGTGGAGTGTGCTGGTGGAGTTCAGAAATAAAGTTTGTTCCTGCTTCAGTGGCTCATGATTTGTGCCCAGCCAGACTGCGCCAAAATGTTTCAATACCAAAATCAACTAAATAGAAAGGAAGATAATCCTGTAGAAAATGAGGCCAAAAAAGTTAGAAGACATATAGAAAACAAAGAATAAAATGACAGAAGTCAATTTTCCCTTATCAGGAATTGCTTTAAGTGAAAATGCATTAAACACTCCAATCAAAAGGCAGAAAGTGGCAGAAAGAACAGAAAACAGGGTCTAATTTACTGTCTATAAGAATGAACTGAGGAAGAGCATCCAAGTCTGATAGGATCTGAGAAGGCGTGTTCTAGGCAGAGGAAACAGCAAGGACAAAGGTCCTGGGCATAAATTAGCTCAGAGGGATGCAGGTACAGGAAGGACCAGGTGCATCACCCCAGTGATGGATGGAGTAGCAGAAAATGGAAAGCCAGACATTGATCAAGGACACATTGGGAGCTGGGTATTCTTGTTTGCATTTTGCAGAGGAGAAAAATGAGACTCAGGGAAATTAAGCCAGTCTGCTGATGTCCTTCTTTCACACCCTGGTTCCAAAGTCCTTATTCCCCAGAAACATTGCACTTGGGTCAGATTCACACATGTGTTGTGTCATCACCTCCTAGGTATCTATTTAAGATATAGTTGCAACAGACACAGATATTCAAACAGGCTGATTAAATATATTTAGTAATTTAGTCTAATCCTCCAGCAAGTACATCAGTAGAGTCCCTGCTTCCCCAAATATCTCCGGCCCATCTTCTACACAGTCACTAGAGGAGTTTTCTAACCTAGTCAGATGAGTGTTTTCCCATCTTGAATTAGATTTGAGTCTGACTCCAATAAGATCTCAGTAGTTATAGTACCAGTGGTACCTCCAGAATCAGCCTGAACACATATGAAGCCCATTCAAGAGCATTTGGAATCTACAATGTTTGAATCATACAGAAGATTGGATACATCTAAAGGGAGAATTAGTAAACTGGAAGATTTTCTTGAGGAAATTGCTCAGGATGTACCACAAAGAATCAAGAAAGGAAAAGGACAACACAGTCTCTTGAAGTCAAGAATTCCCCAGAAACCAATCAGAATCGAAGCAGGAGAGAAAGAAGCATGCAAAAGAGCCAAAATGAAGCATATTCCAAGCCAGTACTAGCGCTTAACACTCAAGCCTACATGGGTTTCCTCAGACCCTTCCTTGGCATTCAAGGAACTAATTTTCCAAAGATTTGGGGAGAGGGGTGGAAAAGAAAGGAAAGGAGAAGGAAATGGATATTAATTGAATGCTACTATATATTACATACTGTTGAGTCTCTGCTTTAATCAGTTCATTGACCTCAAGGCTGAAATCTTTGCTCTCATTTCATCATGGGGCACAGATTCACTATATCTCATTGGTTTATGTGCTCTTAGTGGTTAGTACAAAAACATACATACAGTAGATGCTCAATAAAGACTGGAAAAAGCTCATAAATTTCGAGACTTGAAGAGTTCAGTGTCAATGAAGCCAGATTTAAAGTTAGATAGTCAGTGTAGTTAGGTAAATCAGGTCTAATATCGAGTGAAATCTAAAATGGAGGTCATGCTGGGAATGACTCAGGGAAAACACAGGACAATTCATGGAATGTTAATGAAGTCCCAAAAAGGCCCTAGGCCAAAGTCCACCTGGAAGAAGTATTAACCAACAGCCCCAACAGATTTGGAGATAGCCCATCCCAGAGAAGTGATAATCCCATCCCAAAAGGTGATAATTAGGTCCACCTGTGTCCCACCCCTCGGGCCCTCCAACCTACATTCCATCACCAAACCTATAAAAAGGGGAACACATTTGCCTGCCAACTGGATTCCACCTCTTGGGTCCCCTTCTTCCTCTGGCAGAAGTCTTTTCTGCTGTCCTTTAATAAACTTCTAGTCTCTACTCTGACCTTGCCTCGGTGTGCTTCTTTGGTGTTATTCTTCAACATCAGGGAAGCAAGGACTCGTCACTGGTCAACAGGGATAACATCAGGTCCACAGTGACATAGAGGGTAAGAGGAGAAGAATGGATCTGAACTCAAAACCATTTTTGCCTGCACTGATTACACAGTGCTAAGCAATGTCTGAATGCTTCCTTTCAAATGTCCCCCCAAAAGATCATCTGATGAAGGCTAGGTCCCCAGTGCAGTCATGTTGAGATATACGGCCTTTGGGGGATGATTAAATCATGAGGGCTGTGCTCTCATAACTGGATTAATTCAGTGATGAATTAATAGTTTAGTGGGCTATTGGGTAGCAGTGGAAACTGTAGGAGGCAGGCCTAGTGGGAGGAAGTAGGTCATGGAGACACTCTTGAAGGGTATAATGTGTCCCCAGCACCCTCCCCCTCTCTCTTTCTGTTTCCAAGGCACCATAAGACAATCAGCTTTGCTCCACCACACTCTTCCTGCCATGGTGTTCTGCCTTGCCAGAGGCCCAGATCTATGGGAACTTACAAGCATGGAATGAAATCTCCGCAGCTGTGAGGAAAAATAAATCTTTCTCTTTTTAAGTGTTTCTGTTAGGCATTTTGTCAAGGGAATGGTAAATTCACGATTACCAGAAAGCTGGTACCAAGAAGTGAGGTCATTGCTGTGACTACACCTGCCCATGTGTTTCAGATGTCTTTAGGATTCATTTGCAAAAAGACTCATTTGGAGAATCAGGCTAAAAAAAAAACGTTTAGAAGGCTGTAAGAGGAGCTTAGGCAATTCTGGCAAGAATTAATTTGCTCTGCTGCAAAGTGAAGATCAGAGACAATAAAGCTGAGTATTTCTCATTCAAATGTTTAGGACCAGAAGTGTTACAGATTTCAGATTCTGGAGTATTTGTATATTGGGGATGGAATTCCAAATTTAAACATGAAATTCATTTATGTTTACTTTACATGTACACTTTATGCACATAGAACGAAGGTAAATTTAAGTGCACCTGCATTTTAACTCCAACCTGTCACTTGAGGTCAGATGTGGAATTTTCTACTTGTAGCTTTGAAGTTTGGAGCATTTTAGATTCTTGATTTTCAGATTAGAAATTTCTCAAGCTGTATTCACGTAAAACACTGGCACAGGTAAGCACTCAATATTCTCGGAACATTCGCTATTAATATGTATGCTAAAGCCTGAGGTGAAGGATGTAGCTCACTGCCTTCCTCTCACCTCCCCACCATTCCTTTCCTTTTAAGAATTCTTCTTTTACTAGGGATAATTTTATCCCTTCATTAACTTTTGAGAAGCTATATCTAGGCCCAAAATAAATTGGCAAGAATAAAAATAAAATGCCAAAAGCTCACACAAACTCACCTTTAAAAATAATTACAAAATAAAAGATGACTTCGGAGAAGAGAAATTTTACATCATTAAAATTAAGCTATTACTCTGTATTTTAACCTCACTAATCCAGGTTATTTTCTAACCCCACTACAGTAAAATCTAGTTAGGGACATTTTCATCACTTAATTCCTCTCATCCCCCACTCCTGCTGTCTCCTAGAAGCATTCATTATCTCAATATAATTTCACTGATTATTGAGGCATTATTATTCTGCTACTTCTCCTGCGACCTCTTCATTTCTGAAATCACTCCTTTGCTTCAAAGATGACACACTGGTAAGAATACTAATTTTCTCTTACTCTTGTATTAAACAGGTCCCAGAGTCCCAGCATCTGAAATTTTAAAAACCAGAATGTACAATATCATTAGTAGAAGGTAACCTGTAGTAGCAATCATTGAAACACTTAACACTTCCATACCACTGTTTCCTATCACTTTTACTTTCAAAAGTATTTTACGTTGACTTGACCTAGATTAAATATGTATGAATTTTTTCTAATAATAATGGTTACGAAATACAGTGTTATTCACTCTTTATATTTGATGTCATTCATTGATGGATTGAGATTCAGAGAGAGTTCCTTGCCTAAGCTGAAGTATGAATTCATTGCAGAACCATGAAATCAGAATCTAGATTTTGGATCCTCAATAGTCCCAAGTCTATGCATGATTGATCTTATAGAAGAACTATAGGCCTTAGCCCTTCTAGCCAATATTTAATCCACTGAGTCTTTACATAGTTATCATAATACCTGCTTCCTTAGTGTGATGGTTAATTTTGGTTGTCAATTTGATTGGACTGAGAGACTTCTGGAAAATTCCTAATGCACACTTCTAGATGTATCTGTGAGACTGTTTCCAGAAATGACTGGCACAAGGGTCAGTGAAGTGAAGTGGAAAGTCCTGCTCTGAGTGTTGGCAGCACCGTCCAATAGGCTGGGGGCCCATATGGAACAAAAAAATGAATAAAGGGTGAAGCGAGCATGCACACGGAGCTGGACACTTCTTGAGCAGGAGCATTTTCTGCTGCTGCCGTTACCCACAGACATCAAACTGCAGATTCTTTAGCCTTTGAATGCAGAATTGCCCCAGTGACTCTCCAGGGAGCTTCCAAGCTCTCAGTCTCAGACTAGGCTTGCAGCATTGACCCTTCTTGTTCTGATGCTCCAACTCTTGGACTGAGCAGTTATTGGTATCTTGACTCTCCAGTCTACAGATGGCCACTGTAGGATTGTCAAGCCTCTGAAAGTGTGAGCCAGGCTAATAAATCCCTTCTCATAATCATACATACGTTCCATTGACTCTATTCCTTTGGAGACAAACACACTTAGTCTGTTGAGTTCAACCCCAACCTACAGAGCTTTACCCTTATCTGTACTGTTATTTTCCCCTTCTTGCAAAATTTCCTTGTGAGCCTTCATTCTTTACCTTCCCTCTCTGGAGTCTGGTTTCAACCTTAGCAGCTCTACTAACTACAGCTTTTTGTTTTGGTTTTGGCTGTTTGAGACAGTCTCACTATGTTGCCCAGGCTCCTGGACTGAGTGATCCTCCAACTCAGCCTCCCAAGTAGCTGGGACTGCAGCACTTGCCACTATGCCTGACTTACTAACTACTGTCATCTCCAAAATCACCAATAAGTTATTTGCCAGATTTTGAAGTCTATTCAGTTCTTCTCTTACTTCATTCTGTGTCCTTGAAGTTGACATGGCATGGGTCACCTTTTTGGAAGTTTCCCCCCCCCCCCATATTTGGCCATCCTCAACTGTCCTGATCCTTGCCTTGCAACTGTCCTTCCCAAGACTTCTTTTTGTTAGTGAAGATTTATTGACCACTTATTATGGGATGTATGTGATGTGAAGCACTTTACATGAGCAACCCAAGGGTCAGCATGTCTGTCTTTCAAGAATCATCTTTCAAAAAAAAAAAAAAAAAGAATCATCTTTCTCTAATCTATTTATTGAGACATGGTATCATGTTCCACTCTTGGGTTAGTCTGCACTGCTGTTCACTTGCCTTTTATTGCTGGTTTCTAAAGTTTTTAAAAATCTGAGGACAGACAAGTCTTACTTTGATGATTCCAAATTTTGAAATGAGTTATTTGGAATTTTTTTTTTTACACTTTGATAGGTGGTGATGTGGGAAATGATAGGCAAGTTATTACAAGAGCACCCCAAAGGCCATTTTATACATATAAAAATTGATCCATTATATTATAGATCCCAAATGATTTCTCTGAAAACTCCCAAGATCCGAGGGTTTCGTGGACAAGGACACGTGTAAAGATTTATAATCTTCATTATACCTCCTCATTGTATTTTTACTCTGAAGGATGTGTGAGTGAGAATGCAGAGTTTTCACATGTCAAGAGGTTATTCTTCATTGTACCTCTTCACTGTATTTTTCTAGAGGTAAAAGAAAAACAAAACAAACAACAACAGCAACAACAACAAAAATCAAACAAATAAGTCTCTGGAATCAGACTTTCAGTATAGGACGGTATCTTGGGAGAGATGGTGCTATGGTTTGGATATGAAGTTCCTGTGTTAATGGAGGAGTGTTCAAGAGTGAAATGATTGAGTTTTGAGAGCTGTAACTGGATCAATCCATCCTAGTTTCAATGGACTGAGTATAACTGCAGGCAGGAAGGATGTGGCTGAAGGGTTCATCTTCCCCATAGTCCCTCCCCTTTCTCTCTCTGTTGCCTGGCCCATGACAGAGCAGCTCTCCTCCTCCAAATCCTTGCACTATGATGGCAGCCTCACATTGGGTCTAGAACAATCAAATTGGCCCACCATGGACAGAACCTCTGATATTAAAGCCAGAATTAGATAGGCAGTCAGTATAAATAGGTAAATACAGTCAGGTCAGATGGAGTCAGGCCAATTTTGAGAGAGGCCAGACTGTTCCCTGAGGGATTGAAATGTTAATTCCTTCAGAGCCCTTCCCCCACACTTATCAAGAACCTGCCCCAGCTCCAACCTGTTGCCAAGGTAATCGCCCCAGGAATTGCCCTTCCCTACAGGGAGCTATGAGGTTGTTAATTAAGGTGTTCTGAGCTGCACCTCCTGCCCTTCCCCCTTCAGCCCACCTGTTTCCCACCTGTGGGTCAGCCTATTCATTCCTGAATATTCCTGGGCCTAGTCCCAAACACAGGAAGGAGAAAGATAAGAGGAAGAGGGCAGGAGAACAAAGGAAGCCTAGGACATATAAAAAGGGCAGAACACCTCACCTCCGGGGACACCAGGATACCAACTATGGCCCCCTTCTCCCTCGTGGGAGAAGTTTATGTTACTCCTCTTTAAATAAACCCTGCTTTATATGCTTGTCTCAGAGTGCTCCTATAATGTTCAAACTTCAATATATGGGGAAGCAGGACTCGTCACTGATAACTGGTGGTATCAGTATCATGAGCCCAAATAAACTTTTCTTCCTTTAAGTTGTTCTTATTGGGTATTTTGGTCACAGCAACAATAAGCTGACTAACACAGATGGCTGACGTGTGCAGCAATGGCTTGCCTCTGTTCAGCGTTCTGATGGAATCCAGGTCGCCTGGTATTACTGTACATGTTCTCCATCGGTACCATTATGCAAAGCCACACAAAAGACAATGGGCAGCACTATTATTCAAAGCCACTCGGGGGCCCATTCTCCTTTATGTAGTGCAGTGCTCTTTTACAATTGTCCCCCAAACCCAAATGTGAGGGATCCACCTTTTTATGTGGTGACTTTGCCCAAACATCAGGCCCAGATTTTTTCTTCCCTTAACATTCCCTTCACTCTGTGATCATGTTCTCTCTCTCTCTCTCTCTCTCTCTCTCTCTCTCTCTCTCTCTCTCTCTCTCTCTCACATCACACTTGTAACCATCTGTCCTTTTGATACCGCTGATGATCAGTGACGAGTCCTGCTTCCTCACATGTTGAAGTTTGAACATTACAGAAGCATACCCAGGCAGGTATATAGAGCAGGGTTTATTTAAAAAGGGGTAACATAGATTCCTCCCGTGAGGGAGAAGGGGGACATAGTTGGTATTCTGGTATCCCAAGAAGCGAGGTGTTCTGCCCTTTTTATAAGTTCTAGGCTTCCTTTGTTCTCCTGCCCTCTTTCTCTTATCTTTCTCCTTCCTAAGTACAGAGCCCAGGAATGCTGGGTGGGATGGCCCACAGGTGGGAAACAGGTGGGTTGAAGGGGGAAGGGCAGGATGGAGCAGCCAAGGACACATTAACAAATTATATCTGCCTGTAGGGAGGGGCAATTCCTGGGACAGGTTACTTTGGCAACAGGTTGGAGCAGGGGCAGGTTCTCCTTAAGGGTGGTGGAAGAACTCTGAAGGAATTAACATTTCAGTCCCTCAGGGGACAGTCTCCAATTTGCTAGACTTACTCAAAATTGGCCACCTTGGTCAGACCTGACTCGATTTACCTACCTATACTGACTGCCTGTCTAATTCTGGCTTCACTTTCTCTTTATGATCACAAAACATCCAGGATTTGTCCTATTGATACTTTTGTCTTTTGGTGTCTTTGCCCTCTAGTGATCAAGGTTGGGAGCCATCTGTTTTCAGAATTGTCCCTCTCTCTGTGATGATATGTAATACAAGAGTGCTCCACTCATTAGATCATAACCCCCTTTGGCCCAACTTGTTCATAGAATACAAGGAATATTTCATCTGGATATAAACCTGCAACTTCTTTGCCAGTATAAGATTTAAAAGGCATTTTTCTTCATGTTTAGTCCTTGCTTATCAACCTAAAAAATTAATTTCAGTATTGTATTTCATTTAATCTTCTGCCCTCTTTAAAAATAGCAATGAAAAACACCGGGAGACAGCTCTTCTTGGGTTTGTTTATTGGATTATCTTTAATAGCCCCATTTTCTTATTTATTGCTGGGCTCAAGCAAGTCCAATCATCATTAATTAAAATGCACGAAGCACTCACAGCAGCATAAATAAAACAGTAGAGAGAGCAGCCTCCTCTTAGTGTCTTATAAGATGGGTTATTCTAAAAGGAAAGACATGCTTTCTATCTCAAAAATTAGAAAAGAGCTTTCTCCACCTGGTTAAAAGCAAGGAAATATAAAGCCACCAATTTTGCAGAGAAAGGTCTTTTTCAGGCCCCTGTGAGGTCTAATTTTATACCAAAATGAAAGATTATCCTCTGCCATCTGTCACTGAAACCCAGTCTGCATCTATAGCCAAACCTTGGAGCAGAGAAAAAGCAAAGGAAACTGAGAGACTTGAATGTGCAGGAGTTGTTTCACAAGTTTATTTTTATTTTTCATCATCAGAAGGATTTCAAGACTGGCCATTTAATAGACTCTCACTGACAACTGATGGAGAGATGGGTGATTCAGGATGGGAACTCCCTGGGAAAGGAAAATGTTCTGCTGTGGGGATGGATGGAAAAATGAGGAAGGAAAACGCTGGCACAGAAATGGAGGCCAAATAAGTCAAAGACCCAAGATGTCTCCGTGGTGAAGGAGAACAATGGCTTCATGGCTTCGTGGAGGTCATCCAGGTTCCATCCAGGGAAAGGACAGCCATCCTCTTTAAGAAAGGTGAAATAACTGTGTTAGTCAGTCTCCTGTTCTTATACCAAAAACCTGAGATAAGCAACTTAAAAAGGGAAGGTTTTGTTTCGCTTCCAGTTTTAGGAGTTTCAACCCATGGTCAGTTGGCCCATTGCTTTTGGGCCTATTATGGGGCACCATATCATGGTGGGAGAATTTGGAGATGTAAACAATTCACTCCACGGTGGCCAGGAAGTTGAAAGAAAGAAGGAAGAGGAGACTGGGATCCCGCTATATCTTTTGAGGGCACACCCCCAATGACCTGATTTTACTCCCCGAGTACCTATGTTCTAGAGATTCTACAATCTCTCAATTAGCACCATAGGTTGGGGACCAAGCCAACACAGGCCTTTGGAGGACATTCAAGATCCAAACTGAGCCAGGCACAGTGGTGCACACCTGATCCTTATTATTCTCAACTTCATTCTAGTGACTCTCTGATATTTCCCAGTTCTGGTAACATTACCTTGGGATGCCAGGAGCATGCAAATTTATTTTTAACATTTGTGTACATGCTTGGTAAAATATTATTAAAACTAGAATTTAAATACTTCATCCATCCATTAAATAAAAAAGAAAAGAATGAATTATATAACATTTAGAATGAAATTAAATTGACTTAATAGCAACAATTGAGCTTACTAGATTAAAAATATAAGATGTTGGAAGTGGGGTGCTAGATAAGAATGAGTTGTGATCAGCACAAGAATTGCTTTGCATTTTTTCTAAAGGATTTGGCAAAGTTGGATTGCAGTGGGATTAGTCTGAAATCTTTGCCACACTCTTGTCATGCTTAGCAAGCACAAACTATTCCCACCTTAGACTTTAGAAGAGTTTCTGAGCTCTAAGGAGATGTGTCTTCATTCTAGAAAGAAGAAGGGTATAGAGGAGAGGGGGTGGGCACAGGATGGTGAATGGGCAGGGGTGAAGTTTGACAGAAGAAAGAACTTCTAATATTCTGTAGCACAGTAGCATACCTATAGCTGACAACAATTAATTGACTAGTTCAGAATAACTAATAAATAGGATTTTGAATGTTTCTGACATTAGAAAAAATGATATATAACTGAGGTGAGTTGCCAGTTACCCTCATCTGATCATTATTCATTGTCTACATGTATTGAAATGTCACCCTACACCCCATAAATATATACAATTATTGTGTCAATTAAGAATATATATTATGCCTAGCAGGCACGAGGCCCTGGATTTGATTTCTAGCACTGAAAGCAAATAACAAAATATCTATATGTAAATATCAAGTCTCTGTGGACTCAAATTAACAGTTATGGATGAACAAAGTGTTCCATTGATTATCCTTTCCAAACTTCTTGTCAGAATTGTCATGATCCTAAAGGTCTGGCTCATTTTTAGCTTATCTGAGCAGGCTGTTCTGATCTGTCAGCTATAATTGTCCCTCTTACCTATTCATTTTGCTGAAGGTTCCCCCAGCTGCACAGCCCACAAACCTCCTGCTGTTTCCCAGCTGTCACAACTGGACTGGTATTTCCTAAATGTCCAGTGGTGATCTCTCCCACTTCATTCTGAGTTTGGCTAGTCATTAAATAGCCACTTATCTAGATTAGCTACACTGGGGCCAGGGAGACTCTTTCTCCCTTTAAGAATATTGCATGAACTGATGAGTTCCTACTAGATGTTTTTTTCAACATATTGATAAGCTTTGCGTGAAAAAACTAAACAATAACTTGTTGGTAGACAATGAGGATACTTTGCTAACTTTATTAGATAGTTCCCCAAATTTGGAGTGCATAGTCACTATTTTTTTTCCTCTAACATATTAAGTTTTACCTTTTGACAACAGAAAGTTTAACACATGAGAGGTGCTTTCTGGGTTTTGTTTCTTATTTTTTCTTTCAAGTAGTTAAAAAAAATGTCAAATAATGAATTTTCATTACAAGTAGTGATAGGTAGAAAAAAATATTTGCAGTGATTGTTTTCTTTCTTGTTTTTTTTTTTTCTTTTTTTAACTTGGGATTGAACCCAGGGGTGCTTTACGATCAAGCTACATCCCAAGCCCCTTTTTTATTTTTTATTTTGAGATAGGGTCTTACTATATAGCTGAGGCTGGCCTCAAACTTGCAATTCTCTTGTCTCAGGCTCTGGAGCTGCTGAGATTACAAGCAAGTGCCACTGTGACCAGCTTTGTAATGAGTTTTGAAGGAGCTAGATTCCGGATCTGAAGAAATATAACATTATGATGAATCATGTGCTGTGAAAAGTTCTGAGGAATATGATGACTACATATCTTTGCTTCCAGGGGCTTTAAGTGCATACAACTGTCTCTCCATGTGATCCCTCCACTGGGTTCTGATGCAGTAGGAGTCTGCTTCCAGATGCTGAGCAGGTGCAGGTGCCATGCTCTTGGACTTCCCAGCTTCCAGAACCAAACAGATGTTGGACATTATCCATAACTTTTGCAAATTTGTCTTAACTGATTTTGCACATCTGTTCCTTCATATAAACTTTGGATTTTTCTTATAAAGTCCATCATGAAAAAAATACAAACGAATTTCTTTTAGTTAGATGATGTTATAAACTTGCATGATCCACCCACCTGCGTTAGTGAGTGGGCCACAAGCCAGGGGCACAAGTGAAATCTCATTCTCTACTTATGTCACATGGTGGTATTGTCAGGCAGCCCTCCTCGTCTTTCTCTCCATCACCCTAGCAGAGAAGCAGGAGAAAAGAGACGCAAGCAGAATGTTTTTAGGGACTAAAAATATAAGTGGCTTTCATTTTTTCCACCCTCAGTTTGTTAGGCAAATTTTGACACAGCTAACTGCAAGAAAACCTAGTGATTATCTTGCAGCATTCTGGGAAAGATGAACTAAGGTGGTGTTAGAGAGAAAATTATCCATAAGATAATTGTTAAAATTGCAACACAGAGTTTATTCAGGACTATCATGAAGGTATAGGAAATATGCAATGGAGTGTCACAGTAGTGGAAAGAGATTGGATTCACCCTTGAATACAACAAGGAAAAGTAGGACTTTGGTCATTGGATAGATAAGGAAACACGAGAGGTTTCAGGAGAGATTCTGGCTAATCCACCTTATGTGATTCCTGCTGCAGACAAGCCAGGGTAATCAGACATCAGCTGGTAGTTGTGGGTGATGAGGAAATTGCTCAGATATTGAGTGCAAACAGATATTGAAACAGGAGACTATAGCTAAAGTCTGTTTTAACAGAATTCTTGCTAAGTCTAGACTTACAGGACAGGCCTAAGGGTGGGGACTCATTGAAAAAGTGTTCAGAGGTGCTGACAAGCGTTTGGGTATGGGAAGAATCTTCATTGATATGAGTGCTTAGCATTGTTCCTGCTAAATAGGCAGATCCTTTTTCTCCAAATCTGTCCTAGTATGTTTCAACATTGAAAACGAATGACAATATTTTTTACAACCACGGGAAATGAAATGTTTCATGATCACAATCATATTTCTTCTCAAAGAGAGCTATTTGCTTTTTTATTGAATCCATTATGTCATGGAAATGTTATACATGGATGTACTCTTTATCTGTGGCAAATACTGTTCATAAATTCTGTAAAACTAAAATTCATGTTAAAAATACTTGGATTATAATCAACTGATTTGTTCTTTCTGTATCATATTATAATAGTTGAAAGTCAGATTCTTGGTTCATGCATCCCAGTTCTTGTTATATTAGTTATGCAGTTGGTTGGATTTTCTCTAAGTCCTAAACCTCATATGTGACCTATTTAAAAACAGCATCTTTGAAGACAGCATAAAAGTAAGATGAGGTCAGCCTGGATTAGGGTGGGTTTTGCATCCAATGTCTTTCATCCTAAGAAGAGAAAGATTTGGATATAGAGACACACAGACACTCAGAAAGATGGTGGTGAAGTCAGTGGCAGAGATTGAAGTGATATAGTTACAAGCTAGGGACTTTCAAGAATAACTAACATGTAGCTGAGAAACAGAGGGCTTGCCTAGCATGTACAAGTCCCAATGTTCAATCCCGCACTGCAAAAAAAACAAACAAATGAAAGGAAAGAACGAAGGAAGGAATGGAAAGAAGGGAAGGAGGGAAGGAAGAAAAGGCTGAAAACCACTAAAAAGCTTGACAGGCATAGAATGGATTCTACCCCCAGAACCTCTAGAAGGAACAAACCCTGCTGACTTCTTTTTTTAAAATTAGTTCTAATTAGTTATACATGACAGTAGAAAGCTCTTTGATTCATTGTACACAAGGGAAGAGAATTTTTCACTTCTCTGGTTGTACATTAAGTAGAGTCACATCTGACTTTTTTTTTAAGAGAGAGAGAATTTTTTAATATTTATTTTTCAGTTTTGTTTTCGGTGGACACAACATCTTTATTTTTATGTGGTGCTGAGGATCGAACCCAGTGCCCTGCACATGCCAGGCAAGACACATCCCTAGCCTCCTGACTTCTTGATTCTAGACTTCCAGCTTCCAGAACAGTGAGAGAATAAATTTCAATTGTTTCAAGAAACCAAGTTTATGATAATAAATGGTAGCTCCAAGAAACCTATAGATTTCACTTACTATGAAGCTTGTCTTTATGAGACAGAAAACATCTTTACCATCTTTATGTTTCTACTTTGTGCAGAATACCGTTAGGCACTGGTGATAGACACAGGGTCCAAGGAGCTCATAAACCCCTGGATGTGAAAGATGTATAAATACACATACTTGAACTCTACTAGAGAGGAAACATTCTTGTCCTTTAGAATCTCCAACCCCAAAAGAGACTATACACAATGTCAAAGATTATGTTTTACATCACCACTTTTTATTTTGCTTCCATGAGTCAAAATAGCCACTTCAACAAACTATAAGTTAACTGTAATCTTTTGAGACATTAATTATATTACTGACATTAGAATGAGAATGGCCAAATTATATTGTTTTATTGTGTGCAAAGATGAATTGTAACAACAAAATTCCACTATTATGTATAATTTTAATGCATCAATAAAAGCAAAAGGTTTATTTGTTGAGAGCCACAGCCGAAGGGGCCCCAGCAAACTTCCAGCTGCCAGCAAACTTCCAGCTGCCAGCTGATGATTGGCTCCCAGGGGCCCCAACAAACTTCCAGCTGCCAGCAAACTTCCAGCTGCCAGCTGATGATTGGCTCACAGCGACCCCAGCAAACTTCTAGCTGCCAACTGATTGGCTCCTCTGCGGTGATGCTCATTGGGCTGTTTCCCCGCCCTTTCAGACCACAGAGCTGCTCATTGGGAGACTTTTTTTGGCTCCGCCCACGCAACCCAGTCAATCGGCCTCAAAAGCAGGAGGAGTGGGGGAGGTTGAGAGGCTTGGGGGAAGCCGGTGGTGGCAGTTGGGCTCTGAGGGTTTTTCCTAAAGAGCTGTGTGGTGTGGTGTGTGGTTCTAAAAATAAAGTTCGTTTCTTTTGACAAGTGGCTCCTGAATTGTGCCCAGCCAGACTTCGGCAATTATTGACACTATACAAACTATAGTACTGAAAACATCCTTTTGTACTGATGTCTGAAGGGAAAGATCATTGAGGTTTTAGTGTTTGTTAGGACCTTTAGAATGTTACTACAAGCTAAAAAGTGCACAGTAGTCAGTACTTCTTAGGAATCATTTCATATCATATAAACAGGACAAATAAAAGACAATTTTCATGGACCAGGTTGGATTCTGATGCCAAACAAATCTGTTGTTTTGCATTTGGGATGGGAATTCCAACTTGGAATATCACTGTCAATTTGTTCAGGTTATTATAACAAAAAACATAAACTGGGTAGCTTACTAACAGAGCTTTATTTCTCACAGTTCTGGAGGTGGGGAAGTGCAAGATCAAGGGCCCAGCAGATTCTGTGCCTGGTGAGGCCTATCCTCACGCTGCAGCTCTTCATGGTGGACAAAGCAGCAGCTCCCTGGGATCCTTCATGAGGGCATTACCCCTACTCAGGAGGACTCTGTCCTTGTGCTCCAATCACCTCTTAAAGACCTCCTATCTTAACACCATCACAATGGCAATTAGGTTTCAATATATGAATTTTGAAACGGGGACATTAACATTCAGACCATAGCAGACACCAGTTAGACATCATTTCATGAGGAACTGAAACTGTCAGAAAACAGCTTTTTCCTATGACATTTCTCAATGATGCTCAACCACTTCTGTTAAGGTCACCTCTGCCTCACACCAGCCCTGGTTCCCTGGCTACATTCCTGGGGAGGTCATGAGGTACACTTAGCTAAATGACTTCACCCTGTATCTCTTGGGACTAAAATTCCAGTCCAACATTTTGCATTTCTTAGTATGTTCTCTTGTGTCTCTGAGTTGCATTTAGAGAAATGAAGCCAAGATCTCAGTAGTAATGTTTATGTTCATGTTTTGGTGATGAACTTACATTTTGCTCTATAGGTGCCCACTGTTCTAAAATGCTTTTTTTTAAAAAAATATTTTTTAATTGCAGGTGAACACAAGACCTTTATTTTTATATGGTGCTGAGGATTGAACCTAGTGCCTCAGGCGTTCGAGGCAAGTGCTCTACCACTGAGCCACAACCCCAGCCCCCTGAAATGCTTTTGACCAAGATTCTGGTTGTACCAGAAAACTGACAGTGGGTATGCTGGGCACTGTCTACTTTCCTTTGTCCTAGATTCCCCGCTCAACTTTTCTAGATAATTCACATAATGCAGTAGAAAAATTATTCTTTTTTTCTACAACTTTTACCCTCCTCCAGAGTATAGGCAGTGGGACTAAAGCTTTAAGTAGCTTTCCTTCAAGGATGGAAAATAAAAGGACATCAATAAACAAATGGGTAAAATGGGTGGAGTACTCATTTGAATTTTATTAGCATTTCAGTGAACTCCAAGGAGTGGTGTGATTAAGTGATTACTTTTCAGAAGTTGTTTCTAGGTGAAATGACTTGAGTTATACATTGAGGAAGCATAAGATTAAAATTGAAATGGACTTGGCACTATGTTGATATTTTGTAAAACACTCTTAATGCAGTTCCATGTATAATGCAGTTCCATGTACACCTGCACTTTGAAGTTAGGAAAATACATCAGCACAGGAATAAAAATACATAGCTATGTTTGCAAGTTCAAGTACATAAGTAACTAAGGAAGTTGCTGGTCTGTTCAAGTTCACCTCTTTTTATTTCATGGGTCTGGTTTGTGAGAAAGGATACATATATTCTAAAGTTGTGTTTTCCAAATCTGGATGGTTAACAGAACCACAAAGAGAATTGTCAGTTACAGATTGTCCCACATATTCTGATTCAATGGAAATGAATTGAGACTCGTGTGTGTGTGTGTGTGTGTGTAGCTCTCCAGTTGATTTTGGTAATCCACAGGTTTGAGGACGAGTTTGCTAAAAATTTAGGCTACCTTTCCACTCTTAGGCATGATTTAAGTAAATCTCATCCATTTTCAGTGTGTGGATCAATGGATTAGGAGGGATTATGAGGATTAGAAGAGTTTCAAAGACTGATTCTAAGACATCCCTCCAGCAATAGCTGGCTGGCACACAGGCTCAGGGAGAAAGTACATGCCAGAAGAGGGATCAATCACCCAGTGAGAAAGTGCTGTTGTCTCAAGCAGCTTCAGACTGCACTTCAACTTTTCTATAGCCTTAGAAACAACAATGTAGAGGTGGTTTGGTTTCTGTTCATCACACAAAACAGTATTCAGTCAAG